TTTGAACTGTACCCATTTTCAAACCTTTCAGAACAAATTCTGAGCAGGAATTTTCAGGAGGCATCCTGAAATGAAAGAATGCTGCTGATTTCACATTTTAAAATTGAGTCTGTTTTGCAGTTACTAATTCACTTCATTGATGAAAGACACTCCTGGGATTAAAAAGGTTTTCAACAAGCTTAGACATGTGCTTCAGGCAGCATAATATAGATTAAGGGGCAATGAAAAGGTTTCCCGAGGCTTTAACTTATTCCTGCCTTTGATAGAAATTAATTTTGTTTCCTTAGATTATCGGATAACCTTTTAGGACCTTACTTTCCTTGTCTACAAAATGGAAGTTTTAATCTGCCATCCTTCTTAATTAATTTTACACATTGTAATATTCTGGGTTGCTTGAAAACCAGTGCCTAAACTCTGCCTTTAAGAGGTTCCGCTTTTATTGTTCTGGAGTGAAGCCCATGGCTGTTGTGTTTTGTTCTGTAAACTTTGAAGTTCAGGAAAATTTTAAACGGCTTGATAGTAAGCTGATTGAACTGTACTTCCATGGGAAGATTTTCTCATCAAATTATATAACATAAATAAATAGATTGGGAAGGCTTCACATTAATTGAGGAGAAATTGTTGTATATATAAATCATTATGCTAAACAGTGAGGGATATAAAATCTCCACTCTTAATATAGTCGAAGAAACCAACAACAAAAAAACATGAACATTTCTCCTTTGGAAAAGGCCCATTTAGTATCCCCCCCCCCCCCGCGCCTAGAATTGAGGAGTCTATCAATATATATCACTTCAATTTTTAAAAACCCATTCATTTTAAAAGAGGATCTTGCTCAGATCAAGGTGAGATGAAATGACTTGTGGATGTTGAGGACCCAGTGTTTTCACCTTACGCTGGGTGTTAAGGTGAAAAGGGATGCATCCAGACAGGGAGGAAGGAGAGGCAGATTGCAGTGAAGAGACTGAGAGTCTAGATAGAATTACAGATTAGAGAGTCAGAAGGATAGATTGCAACTATCTTAAAAAATCCCTGAATACTTAGGGGCTTTGAATTTAATTCACCAGCCAAGAGGGAAGATGAAATGAGTAGCATAATCAAAGCTGTGCTGTAGGATAAATAATGTGGATGAGTCAATTAAAAGAAACAGGTATACTACAAAGTTTGCAGTTAATCAGAAATGGGGTGGGAAAGGGCTGAGCTGGATTATGGTAGAGAAATTACAAAGAGACATTTTGAAGGAAAAAAATAGGTGGTTGATGTATGGCTTACTTGCACTGTGCCTGGAATTCTCCATATTGGTTGAGTAATACCTCAAATTGGGCTACTTGAAGTAGAAGGGTTGAATAATGAGGAAATAGAGAAAGATGTTAAAAACCCCTTCATTCAGCAAATTTGGCAGGATGAAAAAAAGGAACAAGGCAGTGGATGAAGCAATATAAAGGATTTTGAAGAGTTATCCTTAGGCCTTACCTGTGGGGCATTTCTTCCATGATTCAGTACCAGTATCCGGGGACTGCTTCTCAAATCTGCAAGGGAAGAAAATGAATTAAACACCTGCAAGACTAGAAGCACTGACTCATGATGACCAAACTAAAAAGTTGTATTTGTAGCCAGAATGAGGTGTAATTACTAAGGGTGTCTCGAGCTAGGATTGGGTTTTCTGCCAATGGCAGAACATTGACTAATGATACCAATTTATACACCCAAATTTATACACTCAACTTATACACCCAAAGATTGCTTGATAAAAGCAATGATAGCTGATATACTTTATTTTTAGAGTGATTTTCCAAATTATTTCCCAGGACCTCACTTCTGAAGGTACCAGTTTACTAAATTTGAAAACCTGAGGATCCCCTAGCCTTCTGTGTGTCCTCCAGTTAAATTCTCATGTTCTCAAATCCTCCACTTAATTCTCATGTTCAGACAAGTTTGGTAAACTTTACCTAGAATTGTTCTTAATCTTTAATTAATGGCAGATTCTGGACTGGAACACAGCCCAGTGGTCTTGACCATGCCTGTTAGGTTCCTACAGCTGTTTTTTATGGTGAAAGTGTGAACCCTCTGCTCAGCAGTTTTGTACTTAAAAGACCTGGTTTCTGTAGGTTCAGCATATGCTTTAGTGACTCAGCAATTGAAACAAGGCTATTTGGATATTTTTTCTCTTTAATGTGAACAGTTGGAATGACCTTGTTTATTAATATGAGTGTGCTGTATGAACTTTGTTTCAAGGTAACTAAATAGTGGATAAGGGAAATTAATTCTTGGTAGAATTATAACTAATAAAACAGGAAGAATAAGAAAAAGTTTATATCACCATATTGCTATCCATACTGGAGTAGTGGATCTAGGATCTAGTAGTGGATCTAGGGGCTGCTGAACTCATTAGGTGAAAATAGATAGCCACCTTATAGTAAATGAAACACATCAATAGTACCTGACCCACTAACCACCTTAGTCATAACCAAAAAAGACTTCATGTGCAGCTTGGTGCAATGCAGTAGGAAAACTAAATGTCTCTTTTAAGTGTTCTTAAGGAAGAAAAAAAAGACTCTGAGTAAGCATTTAGTCTACTGTTTATTGGAAATCCTGTGAATAGAGGAGTACATTAAGCCATATCTCTAGTGTGCAATCTTTCAAATCTAGAATAAGGGAAGTTGTCACTATTCGCAAATTGTAGTCCATAAACCAGCAACATTGATATCTCTGTGAGATTTTGGTGAAAATGCAAATTATCAGGCCAAGTGAACAAGAATCTGCATTTTAACAAGACTCCTAAATAATTTGCTTGTATCAAGTTTGAGAAGCATCATACAGGACAGTGACTTCATTTCTTCCATAAATAAATGGTAAGGATAAAAAGGGACAGAAACGGGCTTAGCGTAGATCTCTTGCCTAGCACATGCGAGGCTCTGGGTTCGATCATCAGCACCACATAAAAATAAATAAATAAAATAAAGTTATTGTGTCCAACTACAACTAAAAAATATTTCTTTTTTAAAAAAGGGACAGGAACTCTTAACTGTTGATAGGAAATTTAAAAGATGTGTTCATCAATTGTCATGGTGGATGTTTTGTATCTTGACATACAGTAACTATAAAAACATTTATTTGATAACAGGAAATTTAAATACTGATTGTATATAAGAGGATAAGTAAGGAATTATTATAAAATTTTACATAATATTATTTTAAAAGCCTTTACCTCAGAGAAGATGCATAATGAAGAGTTTTTAAAAAATTTGATTCATGGGAATGGAAGAGTATGAAAATTAGTCATTATTAATTGTTGAAGTTGAGTGATATGGTATATTAGTCATCTTTTTGTCATGGTGACTGAATACCTAAAAAAAAAAAAAAACTTTAAAGGAGGAAAATTTTATTTTGGCCCATGGTTTCATAGGTTTCAGTCCAGTGGCAACAAGTGATACCATTGATTCTGAGACTGTGGTAAGGCAGAGCATCCTAGTGGGAGGATGTGGTAGAGCATAGCTGCTTACCTTATGGAAGCTAGGAAGCAGGAAGAGAGAGGAAGAGTCTGGGGACAAGATATAGTTCCCAAGGGCACATCCCCAAGGACTTACTCCTTTCAACTAGATCCCACCTCCTACAGTCTCCACCATCTCCCAATAGTCCATTCAGCTATAAATTCTTCAATGGATTATCCTTTGATGAGGTTAGAGCCTTTATAATCCAACCACTTCTCAAAAGCCTTATCTCTGAATATTGGATACCTTCAATACATGAGCCTTTGGGGGACATTTCAGATCCAAATTATAACAGGTAGGTACTTGGGAGTTTATTGCACTCTTTCCTATATATATGTGTATTCATAGTATGGTAAAATTAAGTAAAAAGGCATGGAGTTGTACTTTACAATAGAATAGCAAAGATAAAATCATTTAATATTCAAGCAATTATGAAGGAAAACTCTCAAATATGGAGGCATTAAGAATGAGTTTAGAAAATCTACAATGGAAAATTATATCTGAAAATGTTCTCACTATCACATCCATCATAGCAAACCAAATGCCATCCTACTTGAATAATTATCAGAAAAGAAGAAACAAGATTTCGTTAGAGAAGGATATTGAATATATGTCTTGATTTTGAGTAGTTGGACCCTTAAATGTATGAGGACATTGAATGCAGCTCATTGTGTTTAGTCAGCTTTTTCACTTCTGTGACCAGAAAGACCTGACAAGAACAATTAGAGGAGGCACAGTTTATTTGGGGGCTCTTGGTATCAGAGGTCCAAGTTAATAGATGGCCGATTCCCTTCCCTATGACTCAAGGTGAGGCAGCACATCATGGCACAAGGGCGTGGCAGAGGAAAGTGGCTCAGGACATCACATCAGGAAGCAGAAAGGGATAGAGAAAGTTCTTACCATGGACAAACTATAAAACTCAAAGGCATGCCCCCCACCCCACCCAGGGACCCACCTTCGCCAGCCACATCCTACATGCCTACAGTTAACACTTAGTCTCTATTGAGGAATTAATGCACTGATTAGGTTAAGCCTTTTATAACCCTGTCATCTCTAAACTTTCTGGCATTGACTCACACATGAGCTTTTGGGGGACACCTCATATCTAAGGCTTAACACCTTGGTATTGCTGTTCCCTTGCCAATGTGTTAAAAAGTCAGGCATCACATTCTGAATTCTATTAGATTTACAGCAGTTAGTTATTTCACTTTTAAGATCATTTCTTTAAATCTAGATAATCTGTATGATTTCAATTTCAAAGATGGAACCTATAAAGTAAGTGATCCTACAGGTATATTTTAACTTTGCTACTACTTAGTAGCTAAGACTTCTACCAGAGAAGTTTTCACATAGCAGTTTTCCTGTGTGTTAGAATTGCCTAGAAAACTTTTGAAGCTATTCTTGCCCCAAGAGGTCATGATTTGATTATTTCAGTTCAGTGATTCATGAACTTTAGTATGCATAAGAACTACCTAGAGGGTTTTTTTTTTTTTTTTTTTTGGAGGGGGAGGGTACCAAGAATTGAACTCAGGGGCACTCAACCACTGAGCCACATCACAAACTCTATTTCGTATTTTATTTAGAGAAAGGATCTCACTGAGTTGTTTAGCACCTCACTTTTGCTGAGGCTGGCTTTGAACTCAGAATCCTCTTGCCTCAGCCTCCAGAGCTGCTGGGATTACAGGTGGACATCCCCCTGCCCAGTACTTAGAGGGTTTTTAAAAACACAGATACAAATTTAAAACACCAAGTGTTTGTAACTTCTAATTTGCTGGGATTTTCATTCTAGCTTTGGCTTAACTCTTATGGTTTCATGCATTGCCCTCCCAGGAGCTACACTCAATGAGTCTGACCCTGGGACACATTGCCTGTCCTTATAGGCCTTCCTTTGAAATCTTGATTCAAGCCTCCATTATTCTTTCATTCCTTCATGCCTACAACACTAGCACCACATGGACAACACCAGGTGTGCCACTAGCTCAAGCAGTAGTGGACCCCTTGGATCATAGCAGCAGTAGCCTCTGGGTGCCACGGCAACTGACAATGATGAAACTAATCCTGGGAAAACAACTTTTTAGGCAGTCCTATGGGAGCAGGGTACTCCTGCCATCACTTCTCAAAGCAAAGTCTTTCAAACAAATTTTCACTTTTATATACATGAGTCTGGGATGAGTGGGACTTGCTGATTCCCAAGATGCCATCAAGGCCACTTTCCTGTTGTCTCCAGGCAAAGTAGTTGGTTTCTCTTCAGTGGCACTAATGTCTTCAGCAACCATAACTTCCTTGAACCAAATTTTACATGGGCTTTTCTAGCTAAAATGCAAGTTTTTTGAATGTTTCTTCTCTGCTTTCTGCTTGTGATTACCACAGTAAACCTGGCTAAAAGTACCCAGCAATACAAATGCTACTGTCTGAATTGAAATTTCCTCCACCAGATAAACTAGTTCATCACCTTTAAACCCAGCCTCACATAAAACCTCAGGATATGAAAAAAAAATGTTGATATGTTCTTTACCAGAATGTACATGAGTGGCCTCTAATCCAGTTCCCAGAAGAGTCCTTATTCCCCTCTGGAACCTCAGGAGCACACTCTTTATTGTCTCCATTCATATCAGTATTCTGGTCTTCTGAGCTCACACAAGCATCATCATTAAACTTGGCTTACAACACCATAAGGCTTCTTTAGCCTGCATCTCTAAACTTTTCCAAAATCCTCTCACAAACTATCTCTACAGGTTTCTGAACCACATGGTCAGGATCGTCACAGCAATGATTAACCCCAGTTCTTGGTACCAATTTTGTTATTAGCTTTTCCTCACTGTGGCCCCAGACACCTGACAAGAACAACTTAGAAGAGGAAAGATTAATTTTGGCTCATGATTTTGGAGGTTTCAATCCATGATTGTTTGGAAGGCTCCATTACTTGGGACCTGAGTTGAGACAGAACATTATGACAGAAGGGAATAGTGGAGGAAAGCTGCTCAGGTCATGGTAGCCACAAAGCAGAGAGTAGGTGGGCAGAGACAAGAATCCCAAGGCCATGCCCCCAGTGCCCTACTTCCTCTAATCATGCCCCACTTGCCTATAAGTGTCCATTCAGCTCTCAGTGGATTAATCCATTGATGGGGTCAGAGCCAATCCCTTTCCCAAAGCCTCACTGGACATTGCTGCATTTGGGACCAAGCCTTTGATGCATGAGGTTTTGGGGGACATTCCATATCCATACCATGGAAATAGTCTTCAAGTGGATAGGATAAAAACAAGAGACCTTCTCCTCATCAGCCCAAACTTTTCTTGTCTCCACTTTTTACATGTATCTGAGAATCTGTTGCCAAACCACAGAGACAGAATTGCATTGATGGGTTGTGCAGACCCAGAGTATGCATAGGACATTCAGAACTTGGGTGCTGGAATTGAGGCCATCATCATCTCACCTGAAAAATGTAACTGGACATGAAGGGTTCAACCATCAGTTTTGCATATTTGTTTTTCTACAGATTTGCTAATTTTTTTAAAATCAGCCATACTGTATAGGGTGGAGTTCTGTTGCATTTTGCTTTAAAATGTTGGCTTCTTTCTTTTTTTTTTTTTTTTTTTGCTATGATCTGGTAAATCTTAACCATTAATTGTGTCTTTTAGCTTGGCATTCTTGTAGCATAACTAGTTCTGATGGCTGGGAATAAAGGAAGAGGTCGTGCTGCCTATACCTTTAATATTGAGGCTGTTGGATTTAGCAGAGGTGAAAAGTTACCTGATGTAGTGTTGAAACCACCTCCACTATTTCCTGTAAGTACCTTATAGTTGAATTCTCAATGTGTATTTTTTTCATGTTTCAGAGAAAATTAAAATTCTGTTAGGGTTTGAATATATAATAGCATTAAGATATCCTCAAGTATAAGAAAGTAAAATAGTGTGTTTTACTTACCTTTAATTTAGCTATTCATTTGTTCTTCCCTAAACCTTTTCTAATTTTCCAATTGCTTTTTGTTGTAGATGGACAAGATAACTTTATTTTATTTATTTATTTTTATGTGGTGCTGAGGATTGAACCCAGTACCCATGCATGCTAGGCAAATGCTCTACCACTGAGCTACAACCCTAGCCCCCAGTTGCTTTTTTAAATCTTTTTTGTTTTTGTTTTTTGATACTGGGGATTGAACCCAAGGTACTTTGCCACCGAGTTAAAACCTTTTTTTTCCCCCTTCACATTATTATTTTGAGTCAGGATCTCACTAAGTTGCTGAGGGTCTTCCTAAGTTGTTGGCTGGCTTTGAACTTGTGATTTTCCTGCTTCAGTCTCCCTAGTCACTGGGATTACAGACACACATCATCATGCCCAGTTTATGTTGCTTTCTTAAAATAGTGAAAACAAAACTGTATATTTAATTCTGTCAATATGCTAAGTACTTTGTGAACCAAGAAAGAATTATTTTCTAATTTTTGTATCTTCTATTTTTATTATTGATGTATTTTAATTATCAAAATAATATTTTAAAATGTCAGGTTAGGTTTTACAATGGTTTTCATTCTACGATGCTTTCATCTAACAATTTTCTTTATTTCTTGTATTTATAGAATGTAATTTTGCTCCTTAGTATACCATTTGTCCTTTTCTTCCCACTGAACTTTTCTTTTTGATGGTGGTGTTTGTTGTTTTCCTGTTTTACTAGTTTCTGTAAATATGTATGTTAGTGTTCCTTTTAAATTTAGTGCTTATGTTGCAAGCTTAACTGGCTTCGTGTCTAGTGTTTTAACTTTATATTTAGCTTAAAATATAAGCTCATATTTCCAGATGTGAATGTGCTGTGGTTTAAAAGGTAGAATCCATAATTAACCACATGCCCTTTGCTTCATGAATCTTTTCCAATTTCTAGTGGAAAAACCCTTTATTAGAGGATTTATGTCAGGAGAGGGTCCTGTACAAAAGTATCTGGGGATCTAGATGCTCACATAAGGAGTCTATGCTTTTTGCTCTTGATATTTTGTCTTTTTGATAGTGAGTATAGCCTAAATTCATAAGACAAATATCTTAGGAATATCTTAGGTATAGGCATAATGTCCCCTTAACAGGGGTTTCTTTTAAAAGAAGCTCTTCTTAGCTGGGTATGATAGTGCATGCCTATTATCCCAGTGACTCAAGTCTCAGGCAGGAGAAACATAATAAATAAGTTCAAGGTTGGCCTGGGAAACATAGGGAGACCCTATCTCAGTAAAAAAAAATTAAAAGGAATGGAACTGTAGCTAATTGGTAGAGCATCTAGGGTCAATCCCCAGTACCTCAATCAGTCAAACAAAGAAGCTCTGTTCCATGTGTGAAGAGATTACTTCTAAATACAAGGAATGTTAGTACTTGATGGTGTTTTATACTCAAAGTAAGCTTAAAATTCCTTGATGTTGGTTCAAAGGCTCTGCCTGTCTGGCTTTTCTCATATCTTTCCAACCCCCTCCTACCACTCTTTCTCATTCTGTTATCTATTCTGGCCTTCTTGCTCTCTGATGTCTTTGTCCCTGCTGGTTCCCTGTATGGAATGTCTGTTCTCCAATCTTTGCATGAATGGCTTGCTGATCTTATCCATATCTCTACTCTAATGTGACTTCTCCAAGAGGCCATGCATGCTTCCTCATGTAGATCAACCATCTCTAACCTTTATGCACTCTTGTCATCTTTCCTCTGACTTCCTTCATGTATTTGTCATTTATCACTAACTGAAATTGTATCTCACCTCATTGTATTACTTGCTTATTGTGTGTTTCTTCCCTGGAATATAAATTCCATTTGGGCAGGGGCTTTCACTACTTCCTCATTGTATCATCTATTTTCTAACCATGTCTGGTTTATATTAGGTATTCATGAAATAGTTGTAGAATGAATGAATGAATGCATTCCAAATCAAACATATGTACTGTATCCTTATTCTCTGAAATTAAAAAAATGTCTTTGCCATGTATTCTGGGAACTCGCTTTTCAATGAATCTCTATGTCTAATTAGATATACCTACACATATATGTGCATGTGTGTCTATGTGTACGTGGGATATTTAAAAATCAAAATGTGTCTTCAAACTCCTCTTTTGCCATGTACTCATTATATGGGCTTCAAAACTATTTCTTCATTTTTTCATTGTACAAGAGGAAATACTTGTAGTAGTTTGAGAGAATGAATGTTGAATTTTTGTATTATTTTTTATTTTTTAATTTTTTTTTTGGTAGTAGGGATAGAACCGAAGGGTGCTTTACCATTGAGCTACGTCCCCACCCGTTTTTCTTTTTTATATTGATACAGGGTCTCACTAAGTTGGCGTAGGGCCTTGCTAAGTTGCTGAGGCTGGATTTGAACTTGAAATCATCCTGCCTCAGCCTCCCAAGTCACTGGAATTACAGGCATGCACCACCACACTCTACTGAATGATGAATATTGAGATGACCCTGTTTATAATAACTACTTGTTAAATGATAATTGCTATTATTTATATATGTATTCTTATGCTATTGCTCCCACCAATTACATCATCAATAGTTGAGATTAATAGAAACTAGAGCAGTTTCTCCCATATGGGTGCCTTGATTTTTAAGCTATGGAATCACATTGTTTGATAGACAATATAACAAAATGATTTTCAGTGTAATTTTTAGGGTCAATTTAAAAAAATTATGCTTCTTTCATACCTCTAAAATAAGAATAAAGTAGGAATGGCTAAAAGATAAATAGATTATGGAAGCTCAACATCTTTTAATTGCAAAAGTTATTGCCTATAAAACACATACCTGTAAAATTCAATAAAATTGACATTCTCTAGAATGTAGATGAAAGAGATGTTAAAAGAGATTTTACTTACTAAAAACACCTTTGTTTCCTAATTAAAACAGGATACAGATTATAAACCAGTGCCACTGAAAACAGGAGAAGGGGAAGATTATATGCTGGCCTTGAAACAGGAATTGAGAGAAACAATGAAAAGAATGCCTTATTTTATTGAAACACCTGAAGAAAAACAAGGTACGTATGAGTCTGTTTCATGTTGTGATTTAATGACTGTGGATAAACAATGTCTAAGTATAAAATATGTGATCATTTAATGCAAGTTTATTTGATTTGCTTGGAGATTAACAACCATGGTTGATTTGAAAGAAAAGATATTTTGTACATTTTTTTATTTTATTTATTTATTTATTGATACTGGGTATTGAACCCAGGGGAGCTTAACTACTGAGCCACATCCTCAGCCCTTTTTATATTTTATTTTGACACAGGGTCTCACTGAGTTGCCTTAGGGCTTCACTAAGTTGCTGAGGCTGACTTTGAACTTTCCATCCTCCTGTGTCAGTGTCACTAGTATTACAGGCATGCGCACCACTACCTGGCTTGATATGTTATTTTTTAAAATACTTCTTACAATAGAAGTTGTATATGTTCAGTGAAAATTATGAAAACCAAAAAACTTTTAAAAGGTGAAAATTACCCAGGCCTATGTATACAGAACAACTATTAATATTTTATTGTATGTTCTATATTTTTTCTTTATAAAATTGTGTTATATACTTTCTTTCTGCTTTTTACCCAGTAACATTAGCATTTTCACATGTCCTTTTTATTCTCAAAAAACTCAAGGTACAAGATGTTTTTTTCTTTTTGCTGTACTGGGGATTAAACTCAGGAACACTTTATCCCTGAGCTACACTCCTATCTCTTTATTATTTTGAGATATGGTACCTCTCAGTTGCTGAGACTGGCCTCAAACTTGTGATCCTTCTGCCTCAGCCTCCCAAGTAGCTGGGATCACAGGTGTGCACCACTGCACCTAGTGGAAAGTACAAGTTTTAGTAACTATTTGTTATTACATTGTGTGGATATAGCATTATTAATTGTAAATAATTCACTTTTGTTAGATATAAGGTTACTTATAGTTTTTTGCTCAGGTATATAATGCTGTGAGTACTATTGTTTTTATTCGTATCTCTAATTATTTAATATTTAGGTTAAAAATTGAAAATCCTTGATTTTTGGCTTATCATTTATGTGTCTGATATGGTAGAAAATATAAAATTATGTATTCATTGCTAATGCTAAGGGCAGAGAGGAAAAGGCTCAACAGTTTCAGAATGGAGGTGGGAAGTAGTTTTAGAGAACATGAACCCACTCCTGAGTAGTTATTTAGCACAGTAGAACTATATTGATTTTCAGTTTCTGCCCTTAGTTGTCGAAATTAGAGAAATCAATACATCTTTGAGTTCTCGAAACAACATCATTAAACCATGAGACACTCATGTGATATCATCTCATTCCATTAGTATTGAAAATGCATTCCATTTTTCTCTCTCTGAAAGACAGAATTGGCTAAGAGTCAAAAAGGAAGTCTTATGGTGATCTTATATGTGATCATAATAAGTATGTTAGGCAAGATCACTTAATTTTCAAAACATATTGCTTGAAGTTACTTAATGGTTTGATAAGAAATATTTTTCCTCAAAACTACTTAACTTTTTTTCTTTCATGATTATATTGCATGCTTTGTCTCTGTTTAAAAATGAAATTAAAGCTCTCATTTTTTAGATTTAATAAAGATTAAATGAACTAAATAAATATTCTTAATAGAAAAAAATGGTAGGTCAGGGTATACTTTAGTCCTCTTGAAATTAGTCTTTTCTCTAGATTATGGGACAGATTTGCTTAATTTAATGTTGTCATTTAAGCACATGTCTCATTTAAAAAGGTATCAAATTCATTCAAGCATTTATGTGAGTCTTTTAAACAGGGTTTAATTAAGAACATAATATAGTGTGGGAGTAGTTGGCTTGTACCCCTGGATCAAGGGGTACTTTTTTGTTGTTAACTATGCAATAAAATATAAATCTATGTAGAATCATTTGCTTTTGTTTCTTTTAGGAGAAAACTTTTATAGAATTTTTAAATTGATACAAGTAAATTCTCCTTGAAATCTTCATGTTTACCTGTCATTCCTGATGTAATGTGTTTGAAAAATACTGATTCAAGGACTAGGGGCTAGGGTTGTATTTCAGTGGTAGAGTGCTTGCCTAGCACGTGTGAGGCACTAGGTTTGTTTGTCAGCACTGCATATAAATAAGTAAAATAAAGGTTCATTGATAACTAAAAAAATATTGATTGAAAATAAAGGTTTTTTAAATAAAATATAGACATTCATATCTATGCTTTTACAATATACATACTCATACGTATGTATCTAGGTTTATATATGTATACACACAGCAATCTCCTCCTTACTGGTGTTGGGTATTTTTTAAGACCCCCAGTGGATGCCTAAAACCACAGATAGTACCTAAACCTATATACAAACACTGGTACTATAATTGATAATGGATATGGCTACTAAGTGATTAATGGACAGGTAGCATATGGAGTATGGGTATCCTAGACAAAGCTGTGATTCATGTCCTGAGTGGGATGGAGCTAGACTGCATGAGATTTCATCATGCTACTGAGCAACGTGCACTTTAAAACATGATTTGTTTATTTCTGGAATTTTCCATTTAATATTTTCAGATCAGTTTGACTGAAACCAGTAACAGAAACCTCAGGAGGCAAAACTATGTATGGTGGTGGGGGGGGGATTGCTGTATATAAAAACACACATATAAAATACATACTATGGAATAAAAACGATTATCCAGACAGAACAGAAGTACCCAATTCTCCAAGGGAACCATTTTCCAGATGAAGTGTTGTATGACTGTACCTCCACCAGTCTTCCCCCTTTTATTTACCACCTGGGGGCATTAGGAAAGAGAGATTTATAGACTAATGTCGAGAACTAAGTCACTAGAGACTAGTACAAACAATTAGGGTGGGAGATTGCAAGACTTTCTGATAATCATTGGCTGATGGATCAGGGAATTGAGAGCTTTCAAAGAACAGAGGGCATAGGCATAAAATAATAGTTCATATTGTGATATCTTTAAAAGTTATAGTATTTTCAGGGGAAATTATAGAAATGAATAGTATTTTGTGATAAAATTTATTATTTTTTTAATGGAAAAACACCAATCAATATTATTTTAATGAGTTTTAGTCACAAGAGTATAGAGATCATCTAGTCCAGTGCTTCCCAGCTCAGGTTCCTGAACTACACAGTCTGCAGACAAAGAGACAGGATCATGACCATAGTGATGGTTCTTTAAGCCATTTTAAGAACTTCAAAAGCTTAATTGAATTTTACGCTTACCTGCAGTAAGGCCACAAGGTCAATAATTGAATAAATAGGGTTTTGTTTATTTGTCAGTGTATACCATCAGGGTCCATGAAAACCAGTTTAAATTTTTAAATTTCTTTTTGAATAATTGCTACTATTTGTGATGATTGGTATTCATAACTGTTATTCTTTCATAAAGGTCTTCCAAACAAAGAGAAATTTACCAAAAAAAAAATAAAATAAAAAAGAAAAGAGAACTCATATTATCTTTGACCCTATCAGCTCATTGAACCCTTTTACAAATTAAAAATAGACTGTGAACTCTGTGTGATCTTATTTTTCCCATATCTTGAAACAGATTGCTATTTCATCATCACAGTAATAATTCCATTGTCATTCATCAAGTATTCCACATTATGTTGGCGATTTAAAATTTTTAAAAATGGAATAATGATGAAGTTACACGGAAAGATGGTGTAGTGTTGAAATAAATCATTACTATTATGCTGTTCTTCAGTTGTCCTATTGTCTGAAGTATTACATCATTGTTGGTTTTTTTTCTTTTTTCCTCTCTTCTTTTGCAGTGCTGGGTGTCAAACTCAGCATGCTAGGTAAACTCTCCACTACTGAACTATTCTCAGAACTTTGTATTTCTTAATTATTGTGAGACAAGGTCTCACTAATTTGCCTAGGCTGACCTTGATCTTGAGATCCTCCTGCATCAGCCCACCTGAGTAGCTGGGATTATGGGAATATACCACTGTGCCCTTCTGTCACATCAGTTTCTAAGAAGATACAAAATAAGTCTGTAGAGACCCCCATCTTTGTAGTTGTTTTGTCCTCTTTTAGTTTTGAATACAATTGAGAATTCAGAATTTTTCATTTTCTCTTCATAATGGCAAGAAGAAAACTGACAGAGGAAGATATTTCACAATTCTTAGATGAATCAGAAGTTGAATGCAAAGAGATATATGCCAGCTCTCTGGGCACTAATAATGATGGAGAAATTGATTATGTAACTAAAATCTCAAACGGTGAGTCTTCAGATGACTATATCTTAGATGAATTTTCTCAAATTCAAGAATCAATGAGTAAACAGTACATCTTTAATAATTAAAAATATGTTATCTGAAAAGGATCTCATCCATAATATTTTATAATAAGAATCTGAAACATCCTGTTTGCTAAAATGTCTTGTGACATATTTTTTTCTTTTATGATATTTGCACATCAAAATTTATTCAATGTTGTTTGTAACCAGACAAATGATAAAGTCAAAGGCAAAACCAAAAATGATTAAGAAAAAATAGATTATGTGGAAATGAAACAGTTTATTGGGTTCATCATATTAATGATTTCAATTTTTTTTTTTTTTTTTACCAGGGATTGAATCCAGGGGCCCTTAACCACTGAGCCACATCCCCAACCCTTTTTTGTATTCTATTTAAAGACAGGGTCTCCCTGAGTTTCTTAATTCCTCCATAAGTTGCTGAGACTGGCTTTGAACTCGCCTCAGCCTCCTGACTATCTGGGAATACCGGCAGGTGCCATCACATCCCGTGGTGATTATAAGTTTAATAATGAAAATGTTTTTCAAGTATGGAGCAAAGATGACTGAGCCATCCTCTTCAATGGAAGTATGAGCTCTCGAAGTTTTTTAAAGTATTGTATTTGATTATGAAAATACTAGAAAAATAATTGAAAGTTCAGGTATGATAAGGCAGAATGTATTACAAATAGATTTTTACCCAGGCACAGTGGCTCACACCTGCAATCCCAGCGGCTTGGGAAGCTGAGGCAGGTGGATCACGAATTCAAAGCCAACCTCAGCAAAAGCAAGGCTCTAAGCAACTCAGTGAGACTCTGCCTCTAAATAAAATGTAAAATAGGGCTGGGGATGTGGCTCAGTGGCCAAGTGCTCTGAATTCAATCCCTGGTACCTCCCCACCCCCCACAAAAAAAAAAAAAAAAAAAAGAGAGAGAGAGAGAGAAAAGAAATACATTTGTAATATGGAATCATTTAGATGATACAAATGTCAGGAGAAAACCACGAGTAATGATAAGTTTGAACCCATTAAAGATATATTCAAGGACTGGGGTTGTGGATTAGTGGTAGAGCATGTGTAAGGCACTGAGTTCTATCCTTAGCACCACTTAAAAAAAATAAATGAAATAAAGGTATTGTTCATCTACAACTAAAAAAAATTTTTTTTAAAGATATATTTGAGCAGCTGGGATTGTGGTTCAGTGGCAGAGTGCTTGCCTCCCAAGTATGAGGCACTGGGTTTGATCCTCAGCACCACATAAAAATAAATAAGGCAAAACAAAAGCATTGTGTCCGTCTACAACTAAAAAATATTTTTTTAAACAAAGATATTTGAGATCTACAATCAGTATATACAAAATGTATACATTGTAGGTTTGCGTATAAACAACTGATACAAACAATCAACTGCATTCAAAGAAAGTTGTCCATTTGGAGTAAATTTACCTACAAAACCAGTGAAACATGAAATATAAATTTGGATTTATTTTACTTAATTTCTTAGTAAAACTTCCAGTAAAAAAAAATTAATATCTTTATTGAAATATAATTCACACAGGTAAAATTTACTTTTCAAAGTATCCAATGTAGTCATTTTTGGTGTAGACAAAGAGTTATATGCAACCAACACCACTATCTAATGTTTAGAACCTTTTTATCTATCATCCTGAAAAGAAACCTGATGCCCATTAGTAGACATTCTTCATTCTCCCCTACCTTCAGACCATAGCTACCACTAATCTGCCTTCTGTCTTTAGGAATGTGTCTGTTCTAGACAGATCATACAAATAGAATGATATATTATGTGTCCTTTTGTGACTGGCTTCTTTCCCATAGAATAGTATCTTCAAGGTTCACCATAGTATAGTATGTATTGGTGTTCCCCTCCTTTTTTTTTTTTTTTTTTTGGTACTGGGGATTGAACCAGGTACTTAATCACTGAGCCACATCCCCAACCCCTTTTATTTATTTTTCTTTTATTTTGAAACAGGGTCTCACTAAGTTGCTTAGGGCATTGTTAAGTTGTTGAGGCTTGCTTCGAACTTGTGATCTCCTGCCTCAGCCTCCCAATTCACTGGAATTATAGGCATGTGTCATTGCACTGGCCCCTCCCTTTTTATGGCTAAATACTACCCCATGAATGGCTATACCACATTTTGCTTATCCACTATCACTGGATGGACAGTTGGGTCAGTGACTCTTTGGGGCTATATACTGCTGTGAGCATTCATGTACATATTTTGCGAGGGTATTTGTTTTTATTTCTGTTGGGTATATATTTAGGATCAAATGATAACTATATTTAACATTTTGAGGAACTGTCAAACTTTTTTTCTAAAGTGGCTATACCATTTTACATTTCCATCAACAGAAATTCTTAAATTTCTCCACCACCTTGTCCTCATGTTATTGTCTTTTTTTTATTCTAGCCATCCTTGTGGGCATACAGTGTATCTCATTGTGCTTTTGATTTTAATTTTCCAGCTGACATGTTAAGCAGAATGTCATGTGTTCTTTTTTCTTTTACACATTTTCTTTGGGGAAATTTATGCATATTTTTTGATCCTTAAATTGGGTTCCAATAGTTGGTTTCCAGTATTTCTTTATTTTTCTGTAAATTTGGAAGTAACTTAAAAATATTGAAAAATGTAAAAGAAAAAAACCTCCATTGGACCCAAGTGATAAATGGCTAAAACAAGTTTTCTTACTATACTAATATTTAAACTTTTTCAACATATAGAATCTGTTTTGCAGAAAATTCTAAAAAAGAAATAATTGTAATGCATAGCCCCCTCATTTCTGTTGATCTCTTTTTATGAGTGAGAACTTTGAGGGCAAGATTAAACATTTAATCTGAAATCAGTTAAGTACCTAAAGAAGCCTGCTCTGTCTGGTTGTCTCTGTTTGTTCTTAGTTATCTTTCTCTTAACACAAGGTACAATTAACAAGTAGTTTGTTAATTATACATAATTGTACTGCTTGGGAGCATTTTCTAGAAGAAATCTAGATCCTTGATTTGGTCCTTGATTTTTAAATTTCTAATGTACTTTCCATGGTTTCAAGCCTATTGTATGATGGTGTAGAAAATTCCCAAAGGTAAAATAAGAGATGCTTTTTATTTTAGAAGAATGGCTTAAGTTTGCAATTATTTTAGAAGAATGGCTTAAGTTTTTGATATTTCTAATGGATTTTTTTGTTCTTCTTTTTTCCCCTAGATATTGAAAGGTATAGTAAAAGATATATGAAGGTATACAAAGAAGAGTGGAAACCAGGTATTATAAAACAGATGATCTTAAAATACTTTTTTGAGGATAAGTTTTCTATTTCACCATAGGAAAACAGTCTGGTTCATTTTCTGTAACTCATTTGTAATGTAAATCTTTTGGAAACCAAGAGGAAAAGATTTTGATACCATAACAAGGAAAAATTGAAGTGCTTTTTTGAAGTTTTCAAAATACATTCTTATAAAAATAGGACTTGCTAAAAAGCCTTTTGGGTTTTCTAGATTCAGAAGCCACAGTCACAATTTTAATTTGCAAAGAACACTTACTTCTTTGCTCTTGAATGATTTTAAAGCTTTTGAGGACAGAGTAAAAAACTAGTTTTAAGGATATTTTAAATCGATATTTAAATCGAAAGGATCTTCCTTTCCTTCAAGCAGACATTGGCTAGTTTTAGTTGCCAGCATGCCTTTTCATTAGAACCATAACTAAAAGAGTTTTGTTTTCAACATGTAAAATTTCACCTTGGGTGGAAGGGGCTGTAGGGGAGGTCTCAACCAGCCCGTTCATTTGGGAATAAAAAGCAGTTGCTATAGAAATGAAATGATCCATCAGGGTCATTTTCCAATACACTAGAACTCAGTTTTCTTCATTTAAATTCACTTACCTTTTATCTTTGTTCATAGCTTTATAGAAATTGCCCTTATGTAAATTTCTAAATGGTACTAATAGCATTATCATTTTCATGGATTTTAGTGCTCTTTTCATGTTATTCAACCAAGAAGATTGGGGCCCCTTGGAAATATTCTTACTCTTAAATTCCTCTCATTTCTTCTATTTCATTAATAATCATCTCTCAAATGATTCTTTACATACTTATGATCTTCTATGAGTAGTTTATAAAAACAGATTAAAAGCAAAATTTATTAATTCATGTAAAATGACTTGAGACTTAACTTTTGTACAAATGCACAATTTATTTATTAACAGAATATTATTAAATCTGCTTTTATATCACTTCAATTTTCTGCTTATCTCTATACTTAAAAATTAAAAGTAGGGGCTGGAAGTATATAATTCAGTGGTAGAATGCTTGCCTAGCATAGGTGAGGCCCTGGGTTCAATCACTGGTAGTTCTCTCCCCCTAAATCCCCCAAAATTCAAAGAAAGTGAAGAAGTAGAGAAGTAGAGGGACCATTTTTAGCTAATTTAAGCAAAAAAAAAAAAAAAAAAAAAAAAAAAAACATTTATTGGAGGGAATTTATCTTTCAACATCTATTTATACTTTTAAGTTTTCAGATAATTGTTAGAATTGTTTATTTCATTTCACATGTATTGGTATTGTGGTCACAAGTTCTAACTTTTGAAAAAACAAAGTTACATAAGAAATATCTATCAGCCAGAGAAAACTAACAAACTGCAAAGTAGTCATATAATAAATAATAGTTAACAAAAACAGTTGTAATTCTAACATCCCCAAAGAATTATCCTAAGATTTTGTACCCACCAAATTTCATTGCACTATTTCAAAGTTATTTCAATGCATTTTTTTTCTTTATAGGAGAAAATTTATCATTGTCTGTTATATTCATTATATTTTAGTCTAAATCTATACAGTTTGATACTAAGAAATTTTATTGTCATTAAATGGGCAACTGGCATATCTTTAAATAGTTATATCCAATACCACTGAGTCCTAGAGGAAATGGAAATTTTTATATTTCTTCTTTTGTACACCAGATTGGAGAAGACTCCCAAGAGAGATGATGCCCAGGAAAAAATGCAAAAAAGGTACATTTAGTAGCAATAGTAATGCAGGTAGAAGGTTGTTGCTTAATTATGTTAACAGTATTGTCAACCTGAAGTTATGTTCAGTGTTCTGAATGTTTTTTCTTAAAATATATCTAGCATTTTGATTGTTATGTCAAAGCTTTGTTTTTGTAACTATTATTGATTTTGGGGGGGTTGTTTAGTTGTTGTCCTTTTTTCAATTTTGGAAATTTTGTGTGCTAGGAGAAACTTTTCAATTATATAGACTTTTTCATTTGTATATCTACAAAATTTTTGATGATTATATTGGCTACAGTGAAATATTATCCAACTGGGAACCTGTAAAATAGAATTATATTGTATATACAAATATCAAAGTGTATGTTTGCATTTTGTTTTTCTTTAGTAATTCCATTCAGTAAATAATTGAGTATTTGCTATTGCCAGACACTGTGCTGAGAGGAATAAAACACAGAGCACTGTGGCACTATCTATGCCTTCCTGGAGTTGCCAGTCAAATGTAGAAAAAAACATTAAATGACTGCCTTCATTGGGAGGTGTGGGAAGGGTTCTTCTAAGAAAAGGAAGTGGAGTTGATATTGAATGATGAGTAGGCGTTTACTAACATGAGGTGGTTGGAGGGACATGGACAAAGATCAGGTTGTGAGAGAAAATCATGAATTTGGTTCAGAGATATTTTTTCTGGTTCCTTTGAGATAAACAGAAATATTTGACCATGTTGTGGGAAACAGGGGTGTGGACCTAGAATGGAGGTGGTAGTCATCAGCAGAGAGATGATAGTTGAAGTTGTGAGAAGGGATGAAATCATCTAGGATGCAATTCGATAATTAAGAGGAAAGAGGGCCTGAGCTTGGAGTAATGCCAACATTTAATGGACTGGTAGAGGAGATTGAATCAGCAGAGTGAAGAAGTAGAAAGAGAGGGAGAGGTGAAACCAGAGCCACAGGAGGAAGAACCTACAATTGGGAAGGATATTTCAGAAAGTGGTCAGCAGTGTTCATGGAGGTTAAACAAATGCTGCAGAGAGGTCAGGTAAGACAAAGATTGAAAAACATCAGTTTATCTTTTTATATCAGTCATGGGTATCCTCAGGGAGAACTTTTTAAATGACTTGGATAGGTCTATATTGGAATAGGTTAAGCAGTAAGTGGGACCTTAGGAATGGAAACCTCTAGTGTAGATGAGTCTTTAGAGAATTTTGGCATCAAGAATGAAGAGAGAAAAAGGGAGTAGTCAGAGAAGTTAAGAACGGTGCACTTAGCAACTAAGAGAAGAGGAAATACCTGTTGCTTTTTTAAGAGCTTTATTGAGGTATAATTGACATATAGTAAAGTGCACAGTTTGAAGGCTACAATTTAAGTTTTTATGTATACATATGTGTAAAAACATATATATCTACATATATATATATAAAAGTTGGAAGTATTTCTATCTTATTTTAAAGTCTTATTACATAAAATATTTAGCTTGAATACAGAAAGTATGGAGATATCAGAATTATCTACTGTCTATTAAACCCTTGATTTTTTTTGAGGAAATATTTTCATAATAATGTACATGTGCATGAAAGATTCTGGCGATGTCTTCATGGATCATAAATCAATAGTAGACTTTCAAGAGCTGAAAAAAAATGTGTCCATTTTAGAATTAATGTTTTCAAATATTTCTCAAGGACTGCTCATCCTTGGAGCTTTATGTATACATTAATCTAGTAAAATCTTCCAGTGTAACAGAATTCCATTTATTAAAAATCAAAACAATAACAAAACTTTCTTTTCCCATTCTGTTATAATATTTTTTATGCACATGGTGTAATTTTTTTGGTTTCTTCTTCATAGGCTTGTATTCTCCCTTTTGATGGCCTTCACTGATTTAGAGAAAGTAAACAGTACCAAAAGAGTCATAGGTGAAAAAAGGTTTTCTTGAAGAATCAGTTACTGACAGGTGTTAAAAGAAAGAGAAACAAACAAAATTTCAAATATATGCATACATTTGGCTATATTTGGGGGCAAAATAGTCTTTGATACTTCTCCCCCAATTATTCATATAGGATTAGGCATTATATAAAACCCAAATAATATGTAGCAAAAATGCTGAGTGGACTCAATTCTTTAATTGACTTCTTTTTCTTAAATATAGATTGGTGTGATTCTTTCTTTTTTTTAATGATTGTTTTTTATTTATTTATTTTTATGCCATGCTAAGGATTGAACCCAGCCTCATACTTGCTAGGAAAGTGCTCTGCCCCAGTTCTTGTAACTGACTTTTAGTTAACAAATCAGTAATTTATATAAGAATATTTACCTGACAATTTGTATAGTATCCATTTAACAGACTTATATATTATGAAATTAAATAATTTGATAAGTATTCCTTAGAGCAAAAGACTTCATGATATGAGTAAATCACATTCTTAGCTAATAGGTTTTGTCATTGATATTACAATATTTATTCAGATCTCATTCATATGCAATACTCTGTGTGCCACAGTTCATATTAAAGAGCTTTTGCCCTTAAGGAGGGCAGAGAAAGATAAAGATCATTACATCTGTCACTTTTGTTTGAGCAGACCTCACTAATACATGTTTGGGAGCTCTGAGCTCAATAACTCCTAAAGGGGTAATTTGGTATAACACAGTAAATTGTAATTCCGTCAGTTATAGGTCATTCACCACAATCTAAAAATTTCTTCTTCTGTAGGTTAAATGTTAATCTTTAATAAAATTACATCTTTCTAAGCCATGCTTTCTTCGGTTAACAAATAATTTCTAGGTATTTAGTTTGATCTTGGAAAAGAGATGTAATACTTCTGATGATAATGGTACAATTTTTAGCCTATCATAATGCTTTGGTAGCTGGCAGAATTTATGTGTGAAATAATTCTATGTTCTATGCAGTTTCAGAATAGCCTTAGAGGCAATATTTTTATATGGGCAAAACAAATTATATATCCCAAATTAGAATGCTTAATTTATATGCTTTGAGTTTTGAGATTTATATGATGGATGTATTCAGTTTAACCATTTTACTCTTCACTCCAAATGTAGTTCTTTATTGTACCGAATAAAACCTCTTTCTTGTCTCTTTTACCATTAGCAAGTGCATATTTAGCCAACACTTCTTTTTTATTTTTCAAACCTAGTAACTTTGCTTTGGTTAAAATGAAATGCTAATGAATGAACAGAAAGCTGCTGCAGATAAAATTTTGGGAGCATTTCCTGGTAATAAAGTGCTTCCACCTGAGGTAACGTTTTAGCAATTTTGTCCCTAATGGTACTAATTGCAAGTTCAAATTTTTAGTACTTAGTAAAAATATATCTGGCTACAGTCTTAAAATATATCTTATGAGGTGATTATCATTTGTTTTGATTGGACATTGGAGAGGTGTGATGATTTATTTTGTTTACTCTTTGAGAAAATAAATTCACTCTAAAATTATGTGACTGCTTCATGTGACATACTACTATACTATTCAGCATATGAAAAGGCACAAAAATATAATCATGGTTGCTGTTATAGAAAAATATGTTAACTGGTGGTTTTATTTCAGCAGACCCAAAATCCAAAAAGGCAAAAGATACAGACAAAGGTACTTCACTCGCTAATACTGCAGATGTTTTGAAAAAAATTGAGGTAGGGTTTTCTTCTTACTATAAAAATAAACTGAAAATGTGTAATACGATTCCTTCTCACTTTAACCTTTCAGCCTTCTCTTACTTTTTTAATAAATGGATTTGGCAGAAGCAAGCCTCCACAAAAGCCAATGAGAAGGTTTGAACTTTGTTACCTGGGACGTGTGGAAGCCTCCCCCCTCCCCCCGTCCCCCACCTATCCTTCTTGACCACTTACCTGGCAAAGTACCTCAACCTCTACCACAGGCTTTCTTTTCTACCATATCCCTATTTTCCCCCTTGTATTTGAATTATTTGTGGAGAGGAGAGAAACATGAAAAGGTTGCCTAAAATATAGTTCTTTCAAAAAAAATCTCATTTTTCCCCCTGTTAGTGTATATGTACTTTTTTAAATGTTTTTCCCCTCATGTCTTATAATATATATAGCAGGTTCTATTGAGGAAAAAATTGTATCTTATGGAATTAATTTTTTTTATCTTCTCTCTTTACCCCCCAGCCCCACTTACTTTTTTCCATGTCCCTGCCCCCAGTATGGGGGAATTAATCCAGGTATGCAATACTATTAAGTTATATCCCCAGCCCTTCTTAAATTTTATTTTCAAACAGTCTCATTAATCTGGCCTCAAACTTGTGATCCTCCTGCTTCAAGTTAACAGTAAAGATACTATTTTAAAAAATAAATAGATAAAATAAATCAGAACGTTAATAGACTGAAAATTTGCCCTCCCATCCCTCTCCCAGTCATTTATTTCCCTCACTGTTGACTATCAGTGTTTCTTGTATAGCCTTCCAGAATATTTTTATATATAACAAAAACAGAATCTCCCTTTTTAAAGACAAAAGATAGTATATCCCAGTCTTCTGCATCTTCATTTTGTCACTTAACAAAATATCTTGGAGGTGGTTCCATATCAGTCTGTATAGAGTTGCCTCATTCTTTATTATTATTGTTATTATTATTATTAGTTCAAAACTTGCCTCATTCTTTTGTTGACTGCACTATAATTCAATTAATTATTGACTGTATTAATTCAATTAATGCTGGACATCATGTTTCTTGTAGTGTTTCACTATTATCAATAATGATGCAATGAGTTCATGTTGAGTATGACATTTCACATGAGTAGGGTAGATTTCTAGAAGTGGATTTGTTGGGCCAATTGTTTTGTCTACATATAAAATGATTAATTATTACCATGTTGCTTTCCCTGGAGTTTATACCAAATTACTCATAATATCAATGTGTGTATTTACCTTTCATTGATGATGATAATAACAGTAAGTTACTGAGAACTTACTATGTGCCAGGCTCTTTGACAAGCTCTTTACATGCAGTATAACCTTAAGAGTTTGAAACACCAAAAGAGAGGTGGGTATTATTATTCCTTACTTACAGAAGAGGAAGTCAAAAGTGTAAACACAATTACTTGCCAGATCAAGCTGACACAGTTACTTGGTGGCAGAAACTCATTTTTTTGCTATTTTATTTTTTGGCCCATACTTGAGCCTGAGATAACATGTCTGGAAAATAAAGCCAGAGGATTGATAAAGGAATAGCAATAACTGTCAAGCTTAACTGTGGTGGAATGATAGATGAGATTGCAGGACATCTAGCTTATACTGATTGAACACAGTTCTGGCTGCTCTTAAAGCCTCCTGGAAAAAGTTGCTGCAATGACTGTAAGAAGCTATAGGGAAGATTAATCTGCACCTCTGGGTGTGGTTTCTCTTCAGAACAAACTATTTTCTTATTCTTTACATTTAATATCATTTCCAGAAAACAGTGTTAAAATTGGAGTTTTAGATCTAGATATCCCAGTGAGTTAACAACTTTAATATTACAAAAGCTATTTCTATTTGATTCTGTGATTGTTCATTTGTTCAGCAAAAGGAGGTTCAAACTGATTACAATAGAATACCCTTATATGGGGAGGTAGCAACATACAGTCAGATCTCATGAATAATCAGCCAGCAATAAACTGGCATATAAGCTTCTTATTTCTGCATGACATAGAGGGGAGGTTCTATGTGGTGCCTGTATAATATTTAGGATAGAACAACAGTTCTCCATACATAAATGAACTGTCTTTGAAATGATTTTACATTATATTATTATTTTTTATTCTTGAATATTTAATGTAATAAGCTTAGGTAGTTAAATAACATAGAAGAGAAAATGGAAGCTACCAAGCAGAAGGGCTCACACCGGCACCTTAACCCAGAAGGAGGAAGTATTGAGATAAAGTGTGTGACTCTGGAATCACTTTTTAAAAGAATGTCATAGAACTCTTCTGTTTGTTAATCTACTTAAGTGCTTTATGGGTTTGCTTTGAGTCTGTGGGGTAGAAAGATGAAGTTATTTATTTAAAGATATTTGAGATGGCAGTAGTAAAAATTTAAACTTCCATATCCCTATGTCACACTGAATGTTCTGTATTTTAAAAATATTTTCCATAAACTGGTTAAATAACTGCTAATTATGAAATAATGATTAATAGCTTGTTTTTTTCAGAAACAGTAAATACCTTGCACAGAGTTAAATTAATATAGCACAATTTCCATTTTAACTACACAAACTTATGCATTTCAGGCCTTTTTTATTTATGGTCTGATTGAAATAGAAAAGACAAAATGTCATTTATTAATTAGTATTAACACAGTATCATATATATGTGTTTTACAGATGTTTTAAAAGATCTATTTCATCTGCAAGTATTTTGTTTACTTGTAATTTTCTGAGAACATTGCCAGTTGGAAAAATCACACACATTATAATGCAGTAATAACTCATAAGGCAACATAAAAGACAGTATCAAGATAAATCATCTCATGTCTATTACCTTGGTCTTATTTGTTGTTCCTGAGAGGAGTGTGTATACACAGGAAAAGGAGAGCTTCCTTACAAATTTAATCTACATGATGTCCTCTCATTGCCTTTGATTTCTTTAACTTCAACTTGGATATAATTAAAAGGATTTTAAAAATAAATATTTGAGAACCAACAAAGAAATAGCTAAGTTATGACCATCTCAGATATAACAGGTTTTCTGTTCATATGTAATCTACAAAGCACATATATTGTGAAAGAGATGGTGTATTTGTTGATGGATAAGTGTTCTAATTACTACTTAAGAATAATCACAAATTGGTGCTGGAGTTGTGGCTTGGTGATAGAATGCTTGCCTGGCATGTGTGAGACCCTGGGTTTGATTATTCTCAGTACCACATATGAGTAAATTAATTAAATAAAGATCCATTGACAACTAAAAAATGTTAAACAAGAAAGAATAACAAATTAGCTAAAATAAAGCCTTCAGTATTAGTATTAATATGAAATTATTGTTATACTTACCTTCTAGAAAACTTTTGAATTTCTAACATTTTTGCAAAGTGAGCAATAGTACAATTTAAGAGAGAATGACAGTAATAATAACAGGTCTTTTTTTAATCTAATGAAGAAAATCATTGGTAGTCATAATAGAAATACAAATATGCAGTTTTAAAGTAAAGTTTATATTCCATGAGAAAGTAGCATAATGATTTTTACCAAGTGGATAAGTGTAGCCATCAGGCAATCAAAACTTTCATAATTTGGTTTCTCTCCTTTGTTTCCTATCTTAGAGTTGCTAATGATCACTAGCGTTGATTGTGATCTGAATTTTTAATCTCCAGATATATTATAAAGTCCTGCAAATGTGAAGTAAACAATGAAGAACAAAACAGAGATAGACAGGGATAATCTGTGATTAGGATACTTTCTCCCAGAATGACACTGTGGTTTTCAGCAGTCTCACTTATAAACGAAAACATGGACAATTTGAAATATTACCATTACATTCTTTTTTTTCTCCTTTTATGTTAGAAGGGAAACAAAATAACATTCTGAAAGTTTTTCTCTATAAACTAAATTATGTCAAATGTTTTAGAAGGAGGAGGGATAGAAATCATAAAAATAAAGCATTGTGCATCAGAGCTGACAAACCCAGCATTACCTAAGATCCAACTATTAAGTTACAAAATCAAAGAAATACTCATGTAATTATAGGACAGTGAGTGCTTCCTTTCTTGAGTCAACTCATGGTTTCCAACTCATGGTGTGGAGGTAAAATGGGATTAGAGGAAAGTATGTTCTCTTTAGGCTGGGCTGGGTGGTCAAAGTCTAGAGCTTCCATATAAATTAATGAAAGTCATTTATACCAGGAATTGGAAAAGAGAGGTGATGGTGAAAAATCAGATGAGGAAAATGAAGAAAAAGAAGGAAGCAAAGAGAAAAGTAAAGAAGGTGATGATGATGATGACGACAGTGAGGATGCTGCAGAGGAGGAGTATGATGAAGAAGAGCAAGAGGAGGTAAAGGTCTATTGGGGGAGAGTAACAGTTACCAACCATAAAGATTGTCTAATAAGTAATCAGATGTATGGTATGTAATTAAAATCAGTAACCAGCTTGATAGGAACCAGAAGTATATTGTTGTCACTGGCATCAATTCCTTGGTATCAAGAGAATTATTATAGCACTGAAATGATAATCATGCCAAACTGAAAGATAAAATAACTTCCTACACAGGTTTGTAAGTGGAATTCCATAAATTAAGGCAATTTATCAGATTAAGTACAATTAACTAATCTTAACAAAAATTTAGTCAGCCATTTAAGGTAGTAGAGTAAGGTAGTAAGGACTCCCTTCCAGACCTGTATCCATACAGATCTGGAAGGGAGTCCTTATAGTGGTACCATGACAGCATGGACATTATTAGAGAATATTGATGGTTTAGTTTCAGGTGTCTGGCTTAATCAGGACTCCATGTTTTGGATTTGGTATTTCCAATTTTTAGAAACATGGTGCATTTCAAAAACTGGAGTTAATCAAGTTTATTGGTCATAGCCTCTTTGCAACTTTGTCAACACTTCATACAACAAGCCTAGGCTAAGAGTTTCTTCTCTATTCTGGTGAACTTCATCTTCAGTCCATTTTAATGTGGTTTTTTTTTTTTTTTTTTTCCCTTTGGTACCAGGCATTGAACACAAGGGTGCTTAACCATTGAGCCACATCCCCAGCCCTTTTTATCTTTTTTATTTTGAGATAGGGTTTCGTTAAGTTGCTTAGGGCCTTGCTGAATTACTGAGGCTGGTTTTGAACTTCTGATCCTCCTGCCTCAACTTCCCAAGTTTACAGATATATGCCACTGTGCCCAGCCATTCCATTTCACCTTCTTTTTACCATATTCTGAATCTTGTCTTTACCTGAAACAGATCCAAATGTGAAGACTTTCTGTTTTTATTATTTTGCATTACATTTTGTATTTTTTGAAATTTCTATTGATATAAATGGAGAGATTGGATTTTTATGTTTCCAGTGGTTAACTGGCTGCTAAGCTCATTTGTTAAATGATTTGCTTTCCTCATTGATTTAAAACTCTGCCTCTGTCCATTATTAGATTGCCATATTTACTGCAGATGTGTGTCTGAACTCTTTTTCCATTGATCTACTTCTGGAACAAGTTGGCCTGTCTTTCCTGCTTCCCTTTTTTGTCAGAATTTTCCTGAGTGTTCTCTTTATTCTTGCAGATAAATTTTAAGTTTAAACATTTAAAAATTAAACATGTTTCATTTGTACCCAGCTCTGTTTCCAGATCACTCTTCTCATTGCACTGTGATTGAGACTGCTGATACAACTGATCCTTAGTCTCCTATTCTTGGTTCCTGTTTTAATTTCCTTCTCTAAGGGGCTTAATCCTTGCTTACCTTTCATTTTCTCGCCATTACTCTGTCTTATGTTTGGTCTCCCAGCACAGTCTCTAGACAAAAACAGTCTTTGATCTTTTCTGCTCTTTGCTTCTTCTTCCCTTCAGACCTATGTAGTGAGCATTTCTGAGGAATCACAAATACTAATGCCACTAAATAAAATAGTAACCCCACTTTGTCAGCTAACATATTTCCTTTTTCTCTTGTTAAATTACTGCTGTATAATTATTTCAGATAATCTTTGTTCTTCTCACTTCTTTACCACTTTTTCTTGCACTCTTGGCAGGTAATAGTTACTGCATATAGAAAATAGAGCCATTAGAGGAAATTCCCTTAATTTCATATTCTCTGTCTTCAAACTCAATGTCTTACCTCTTCCTTTGCTTTTTTTTAATCAGTGGAAGAAATTCCCTTCACCCTATTTGGTGCTGATAATTCTGCTCTTTTTTTTTTCAAACCATAAGCCTCAGGTCATTTCCCTTTCCATATTTTCGATATCTTTTTTTACATATTTATCTCTCAGTATAAAATGTTTCCCACATTGTCCTTCCAACTCTCATGCTGTCACAAAGCTGCTTCAGCTGTCATCATTTGCTCACCTCTCTCCCCCATTGAGCATGTTTTAATTTGATTTTTACCTCCATGTTATTCAATTTATTGCTATGAACTCTACCACAGACAAAATTTAGTCCTTATTTCACATGGCTTTTCTGAAGCATTCAACACTTGGAAAAATTGTGACAACTCTTTTTATTCTAATATTTTATTTGTTCTTTTTAGTTATATTTTACAGTAGAATGTATTTTGACATCTTACACATTATTCATGGAGTATAACTTCCCATTCTTGTGGTTGTACATGATGTGGAATCATATGTGAACACAGGAAAGTTATGTCCAATTCATTCGACTGTCTCTCCTATTGCCATCTTCCTTCTCTTCCCTTCATTCCCCTTTGTCTAATCTAACAAACTTCTACCCACCACACACACCCATTTATGTGTGTTAGCATCCACATATCAGAGAGAACATTCCACCTTTAGTTTTTTGGGATTGGCTTATTTCACTTAGAATGATGGTCTTCAGTTCCATCTATTTACTGGCAAATGCCGTAATTTCATTCTTCCTTATGGCTGAGTAATATTACATTGTATATACCTACACCACATTTTCTTTATCCATTCATCTGGTGAAGGGCACCTAGGTTGGTTCCATAGCTTAGCTACTGTGAAGTGAACTACCATAAACATTGATGTAGCAGTGTCACTATAGTATGCTGATTTCAGGTCCTTTGGATGTGTGCCGAGGAGTGGGATAACTGGTCAAATGGCGGTTCCATTTTAAGTTTCCTGAGGAATCTCCATACTGCTTTCCAGAGTGGTTGCACCAATTTGCATTCCTATTGGCAATATATGAGTGAACCCACATCCTTGCCAACATTTATAGTTACTTGTATTCTTGATAATTGCCAGTCTGAGTGGAGCAAGATGAAATCTCAGTGTAGTTTTAATTTGCATTTTTCTAATTGCTAGAGATGTTGAACATTTTTTCACATATTTGTTAACTGATCATATCTCCTCTTCTGTGAAATTTCTGTTCAGTTCCTTTGCCCATTTATTGATTGGGTTATTATAACAACTCCTTTAAGACATTATTTCTTTTATTTTAATTAAACAATTAAGAAGACTGTGGGCATCTACTGTACACCAGACATTGTTCTAAGTGCCAAGGGAAGCATGGTTGCTGCCCTTTCTTTTTGATATATAATGCTTCTCATTTTTATGGTTCTTATACTTTTTTGTGGTATCTTGAGTTCTTCCTACTAGTCTCTGAATTGTAGTAGTGTGATTATACTGGTATTGTAGAAAGCTCAGTTGTTTGGACTAGAAGGAGCAAAGTGTGGATCATAATTCAAACATGTTGCTGTCAACCAGGTCTCCTCAGCCAGCAATAATTTTGTCCTTTAAGTGATATTAGTTAGTGGGCATGGTGGTGCATGCCTGTAATCCCAGCAACTCAGAAAACTGAGGCAGGAAGGATTGCAAGTTGAAAGCCAGCCTCTGCAATGTAGCGAGGCCCTAAGCAACTCAGTGAGACACTGTCTCTAAATAAAATATTAAGAAAAGGACTGGGGATATTGCTCAGTGGCTAAGTGCCCCTCGGATCAACCCCCAGTACAAAAAACAAACAAAACAAGACAAAACCAACATTAGTTAAAGTCAGGAGACAGTTTTGGTTGTCACAACTAGCATATGAGTGCTACTAGATTCTAGTGGGTAGTGGCAATGTTCTGGACAACAGTGATTTTTGGAAAAGTCCACTTGAGTTGACTGTGGATCACATCTGGATTGAAATTAAGATCTCCTCTTACAGTGGATTTAAACTGTTTTGTGCAGTATTTTGCTAAAACCCAGTGCAGAGTTCTTCTTGAGTCCCAGTATTCATTGTTTTTGTAAGTGGGTACATATAACTCCATTTTATTAAAAAATTAAACAAAAGCGAAAAGCTTCTTCAAACTAATAAATGAGGTATTTTGAGTGAGAAATTGAAAAGAGAACTCCATTAAAGCCTTTTTCGATGTAAAGTTATCCTTTTTGCTCTTTTTAGCTACTAATTATTTAGTTGAAAATTTGTGGCATTAATTTACTCAATGAATTGTCAATTTCATGAGCATTTTGTTTTGAAGGATAAAATTGAACAAATTATCTGTATAATACCTATATATTAAATCAAGAAAATATAGACTTTGTTCTTTAATTTTTTTTTGTAGTTGTAGATGGACAGAATGCCTTTATTTATTTTTATGTGGTGCTAAAGATCAAACCCAGTGCCTCACACATGCTAGGCAAGCACTGTGCCCCTGAGCTACAGCGCCAGCAAAAACTTTGTTCTTATTCAAGGTTTTTAATATTGTAATTCAAGAAAAAAACAAGGATCAAATGAGCCATCAGTTTCAACAGATTCTGCTGCTTTATTCGTATATCAAAAGAGTATAATTTCTCAAAATTACCTCATTCAAAACACTGAACATAGTTGAAGGAAGTGCTTATGTCTAACAACCAAGTAATATACACTTTAGGGTACTAGAGTTGCCCTTCCTTACTCATTTCTACTTTTATGTATCAGTTGTCTTGCTTACATTTCCACACATGCATGTGTACTAAGGTTCTATATAGAATTATGACTATTTATATGGTGGTCTCATTTGAACTGTCACCCTTGCCACATTCCTTCCCAGAACAAAGGCTCTGGGCTTCAGCTAGGTTTCTAGACATTTCTGAAGCTTGGCACCAGAGAAGCCAGGCCAACTTTCTGGACTGGAAAAATCCTAATAAGCTGGACGTAGACACTTATGTAGGTAAGTCAAAGTAAGGAGATACCTGTCCATGCATTTGGCAGATACATGGTATTTTAAGTTCACTAAACAATGTATCATCCCACTAGGGAAAACTGCTTTAGATATATCTACTGTGATGAATTGGCCAAACCTTCCTGTTGTCTAAAGTAGTTGGTGCCTGAGAATACTAGGAAGTGGTGTCTTGAGGAAGAAAGTAGCACAGGCAGACATGTATGAAAACTAATGTGTCTTTTAGAGATTTTTAAAAAGCAAAGACTCTTCTTGTAAGCCTGTTTTATTTTATTACCTAAATTTGGTATTTATAAACTTAAAGGAACAGTCTACATTGTATTCTTTAATAATAATGTTACTACTTTTTAATTTTAGTTTTACTAAGAAATATATCATTTCACTTAGGAAAATGACTACATTAATTCATATTTTGAAGATGGAGATGATTTTGGTGCAGAAAGTGACGACAACATGGATGAAGCAACCTATTAGCCATAAAATTTCTCAAGAAAAAAATTAATGATAATATAGCTTCTAAGCAGTTGGACAGACTTGATTTATGTTTTGTTGAACAAATATTTGTTACTGAAATAGTCATAATTGCTTTTATACATTAGTTACCTTTTAAATTTATCTGACACTCTGACATTCCTCCTTAACAACTTTGCCATCCCTCTTGTGTATGTTAGTGGATTTTTGTATTATTTGGATTTGATTATGCTAAAGAGTTTTTGCATCTCTTAATCTATGTATTCATACATACTTGAACAACTTATTCTTGTTTAACTGGTCTTTTTTGTAAAATTATTAGTAGTTGTAATGGATTTCTATCACCTGAAGATGATTTAATATAGCACATGGAGCACTTTAAAAACAAAGAAACTTGAAAATTATCTTTTACGTGCTATGTTCTATACTATTATGTTATGACTCCTTAAACCTGCCTGGACTCTTAAAGTACAAACTTATAAGATTGGAGGTTTTATGATCAAAAACATACATGCAGGGAAAAATGTCAGTCTGATCTATTTAAATTTCACATTTCACATGTCAGCCAGTACAGAGAGGCTTTCATTTGGGATGAATATTATAAATACTTGAATTTGGGGCTAACTTCATACCATACAAAATATGAGTTAGTGATCCTCTGTGGTTAAGTTTGACATGTTCAAATAGTTGGGCTTTTGAAAAATTAGACTGAAACATCTTGTTTATTACTTAAGTACATAAGTCCTGGTTATATAAATTTCATGGTAGAAAGCATGAGTGTGAATTTGGTCTAATGTAGTGGCCTCTATTATGCTTCACAGGACTCAAAGGCTGTATAGTTGATTATAATATAGAATTAACTCAGGTCATTAATCTTTTTTGTTTAACTTAAAAGCTAGCTCCCTGCCATTTTATATTCTGGGGAGAAAATGCCTAGAAACCTCAGCCTCCAAAAACTTAAATATGCCAAAGATTTTCAAGGAAATTCATATAATAGATTTCAAGAAAAAGACTACTTCTCATTACCCACCAAAAGAAATGAAGAAAATTTATTTTTACCTATTGGGAAGATATTACTCATTACCCACTAACCTGAGAATCAGAGCCCTAAATTTTATTTCTATTGTAATATTAAGTTCAACCGTGAAACTTAACTTGATTAATTTTCTGTGCCTTAGTTTTTCCGCTTGTAAATTACTTCCTATAAAAAGTGTTTAAACACTAACCAGAATTTACCATGTTTACATTCTCTTACTTTAGAGAAATAAATGATCATATCTTAAAATTGATTCTTACCTTTTAAATAGTTGAAACTTAGAAAGTGACTGAAAAACATTTTGAGAAACAAATGTTTTCCTCATAATCAGGTTTTCCCATCTTTCATTTGTGGGGAAAATTTGTATTGTCTTGTGCAATTTTGCAACATGATTGTCTCAGGAAAAAGATCATTTTCAATCGCAATACTTCCTCAAATAATTCAAGATGGGTATGAGAACCCATCTTACTAGTTTAATGCTGTACTCATAGTATGTGACTTTTCATTTAAAGGAGTGTATCAAAAGATCTTAAGATTCTAAATGGAAATATGAATAAGTCTTCTTTAAAGCTGCAATCTATTAGAATAGAAACCTCATATGAAGTTTTTAGTAATAATGGCAAAGTTGTCATTTGGGAATAATTAACATAGGTGTTTTATTCTCCCTTCCTTTGGTGTACCAGAGCCAAATACCATTTTGTTTATAGAAATCTTATTTCTATATTTGTTTACTTCCTTTATTATAAAAGTGCAGATCAAAGCTTGAACAAGGCAAATACACTGAAGGTAAAGGTATTTCTTTTCCTAGCTTTATATTTGTCGAGTCCTAAAGATAGTTAGGCCAGCACCTTTGGACAAGGATTTACTCGAGAGGTCCTGGCCATCTCTCATTTAAACTTATTTCCCCACTTTGGAACAATTTTTTACAATTTTAAAGTATGTTAATCGTGAGATCAGACAGGGTCTGAATATTGCTTTACTAGCACAAATCATCTTTTTCTTTTCTTTTTCTGGTTGAAGATCTGAGACTGTGAAGTTATTCCATAGGAAGGCAAGAGATAGCTTAATATATACATATGTGTGTGTGTGTGTGTATGCATACACACACACACATAAACACAAAATACTTATTGGTGATGTGTCTTTAAAATTATTATAACAAGCAAACCTGGTTGTTGTAATGTTTATTTTTCTGTATTTAACATTAAATTCTTACAAAATAAAATTGTGTCCTTTTGTTTAATATTTTTAGTTTCAACCTTTATTAATAGGTAAGAAAAAGTAGTTTGTAAATACAGGTTTTACATAGTAACTATGTATTTATTGAGCAGGGTTACCTCTGTGAAATATCTTTGAATAAACCATCACAAACAACAAATGAAAAATCTAGGTATGTGATTGATTAGGAAAAAAGTTGTGATAACAAACCAAGAGATTTGGCAGACAGTATAATATTAGTGTGATCACTGGTTTGCTAAATGATCAGATAATGCTAAGAAATTCAGACAATTCTTCTTAGCCTTTCCTCCCTTACCACCTTCAAATCAGTAGCTTTGCTTTAATGTAGCTAAAGTTTCTGGACTTTGTAAAAATCTCCTTTTAACCAAAAAAAAAAAAAAAAAAAAAAATCTAAACACAATTTTAAGATCAATATGCTTTTAAAAATGGGAAAATCAAGGAGAAACATATGGAAAAAACCCCACAGTTTCCTCCATTAATAAATGTTCTAAAGAACTTTCTCAATTAGGCTTCTTCTAATTTTTTAAAATTAATATTTTTGAAGGAGAAATATTTTTGTCTTACCATTAAAATTTACAGATAAATAGAGCATTTTATATGATTGATCCATGACTTCATAAGCAAGTTGTAGACCATGCCTCAGCAAGTCTTCCAGGAGGAAAACCCTTTAAACAACCTTCCTCTGAAATTTTCTTTTTCTTTTTTTTTTTTTACATTTATGACCTATAAATAATCCAGAAGATTTTGTTTAAGCACAGCAAGTAAAAACCTTAACTCATAAACCGTTGGCAACTTTATCAATCTTAAGAGTGTCTCTAGAATGTCAGTTTGAAAGTAGAGAAGAAAAGTTTGCTTTAGTCAATTAAATTCACCAGCTTGAATTTTAGATTGAATAATAAAATAGAAACTTTATTACATTTTACATCTTTTAAAATATGAAAAACAAGGGGCAAAAAGTTTTAAAAACCAGTTTTACAGATGTACACTTAACATAATATTCTATTATTACATTGTGCAATTGTATAAAATACAGTATACAAAAGATTTATAAATTTTGCATACATAAAATGAATTAAATAAAGCAAATATGTCTATGGTCTAACAGTGCAATATGCACATACTTAGAAGAAAAATACTGATTTCCTGAGCAACATTGTTGTAATTCAAACTAAGAATGATTCCCATCATAATGCACCATTTAAACAGACTGAACTCCACCTTTACCCTTTAACACTTTGACTGGACCTTTACTTCATATTTCTAAAACTAACTATATCCTTCATATTCCCAAATAGGTAATGTTGGAAGTAGATCTTACTAAGTAGTGGTTTGTTTAAAGAACTTTCTAGGTCACTGACCAAGCAAGTAAAAGTCCAGAAAAGAAAGTAAATCAAAAAGTTCTTTGGGGAAGATAATTTGAAATTACATGTTTCTCTCTAATTCTTAACAGGGCCAGGAGACCATAACCCATCTTTTTTTTCTAGGGGTGGACAGCAAAAATATTTAACCTAAATGGCTACCCATTAGTTCAAAACAACCTTTAAGCCATGTCTATCCAAAATTAAAAACAAAACCCAAAAAACCTGCCCTAAAAATAATGTATTTTTTCTTTACTTGCAACTCCCAATTTTTAAGTAACCCAAATACTATGATTCACAGTTTTGTTACATTTGCATACACACATACAAATATAAGGTCTTAAATTCAGACAAGGGTTTCAACACAATTAAAATCCAATATCAAACAATTATGCTTATCTAATTATATAACGTAATTTGCATTTACAACAAATTGAATGTATATTAGTACTTTTTAAAAGCTAAAATTTTAAATCTGAATTCTTAAGGAATTTTTCTTTTAGAGTTTAATCTTTGTTTTTAATTCTATCTATATAACCTATATAGATAGAATTATATGTAATTCAAATGTACAGAAAAGGGAAACTGCCTGATTGTGTTTTATAAGGATATGATGCATTTCTTTCAAAAAGGATACTCAGAAAGACAGAAATGAATTTTAGCCAACTTCAGTATTTTCTTACTTAAAAAATAAGTAATCAGACCCCTTTGTCACAATTTCAAAGTAAAGCTAACAAAAATGAACCAGTGACTCTAACCTTATCAATTTGATGTAAATATATCTTTAAAGGATGTCAAAGACTGTTCTAACTGAAATAATCTGCATTTACTATCCTAAAACTTGATTTTTCAGCAGGTTTAAATGGTACATAAACTAGCCAAATAAGCAATGAGCATTAATTGAAATATCATACTCCTCGTTTCCAGATACCCAAGGCACATTAAAACAACTGAGAATTATTTTACTGAAAAAAATCAATTCACAACTTTCCTATTGAACACTCTGGTCATTTTCTAAAGTCCTCTGATACATACAAAGACTTTAAAATGTTTGGCTTCTTTGTCCTTGTTATGATGCTTTCTCCTGAAAGTATATAAATCCCAGTTACCATAAATATTTATACCATTTCATACCAAGATTAGAGTTTCTGATGTAAAATATTGAAATATCAGAAAATATACCCAGAAAATGAGATGGTATTATATATCTTAAGGTATATACTTTATTATACTCAAAACAGGCAATCCAGACTCCATCTCATATCTATTGAGTCATTAAATAACATTTTTAAAACCCACACTTTAAAAAAATGATAGGATCAGTATGCAAACGTTTCTTATTTAGTCAGACTGGCTGATCCACAGCATATCTTATAAAAATGGTACTATTGAGTCCTTTCAACCATCCATTTTTTGGCCTCTTTTCCTCAATTTGATGCTACAATTCAGGGGGGGAAAGTCTAGGTTGGATATTTTCCCTTTGAAAAACAGGTTAAGAGATCAACAAATACAGCAACTATTTCCTATTTAATGCAAAAGGCCTCTTGTTTTTATTTTTGCTTGATGAACCCTTATCTACAATAGACCTCAATGGTAATAAAGATGTGTTTTTATTCATTAACTTGTGCTGCAAAGTGAAGGTAGAGATGAGCTTGCTTAATTAACCTATACTGAATCCAACTGGACCATCTGAAACAATGTTTAAATTCTAAAACTTATATTAACTACATAAAGTAATATTCTAAGGCAGTAAATGTAATTAAGGCCTGTTACTATATGTAACAGCAATGATTTATCACAGTATGTAAGGAGTTATTTCCTAAATAATGCTAATCTATACATGTATAACACTTTTCATCAAAGAAGTACAAAAAATGTTTTCAAATATCAGAGGCAAATATTTTAAAAATAGAAGCAGAGGTGGGGTTAAAGGGTCTGTCTTAAGCATTCTTTAAAAGACAAGATTATATTTGGGTCCTGACCTAATCCAGTGTTCTAGTGATCAAACGGCAACTTCCCAACCATAACACATTATTTTGGGGTCTTAAAAATATTTAATCTATTTCTCAACCTCTATTGTAGAAGTTATACATTATGTTTCCATTTGTTTCTACCTGTGTTTTCATAGCACATGTCCTAAATGTTTTTAAAGTTTCAAGATGAATGTTAAATACTATCATGAATAATTTCAGAATCAATTTTTTTGCAACTAAATATTTTGGTGGTTCACAAATTTTCTTCAGTTGCAAACATCTGACACTATCATTATTCTGATTCAAAAATTTAACATGAATAATTTTAAAGGAGAATTACTTTAACAATATTTAAATATAAATAGTCTTAAGTAAGAAAAATGACACATCTTCCAATTTGAGAACTTCCTAAGCACAAATTTAAATTCACTTCTGCTTTAAGCATTCATATAACATATTCATGGATTGACTATTTTTAACACCAACACTAGCAATTTCAGGGATTTTATACATAATCCACTTGTAAATGGCTCAAAAACTTTTAGAAAGGTTAAAAACATAAGCATCATCAATCACCCTAAACTCTGCCTCTGAAGTAGATACTGGATATAACCGAATCACCGCATTCCAGACACATTTGATCCCTATTACTTTGATTATGAGCTAACTGCTATGTTTTGTGTTGAGCAGCAGGTGGCTGAAAATCTTCTCTATATAGTTTATGATCATCTTGTTGACTAACATGTATTCCTCTAGTTGGAGCAATTCCATTTTCCATTTCTCTATGCTGTGATGGGGCTGTGATTCCTGAATGGAAATGTGAAGAGTCCACTGTTGAATGGTGACTAACATCCACTTTAGCTAAAATTTCATAATAGAGCAAATAAAATACTGGTGTTATTATACCTACTATCAACATTATCACTACAGCGGTCCACCAGCCTATTCCCCAGTCTGCTCCATAATAGGGATCCTTGCGTTGGGTGTTTTTGTTATCAGGTTCAAAACGGATTTGTTGTGCTGTTAAGGCAGACACTACCTCATTAAGGTTCTCTTTCTTGGTGTCTGTACACTTTACTATTTGTTCTATGTCTCGATCTACTTCTTTTAAAAAACTGCCAGCTGATTCACTAGAAGAAAGACAATCATTAGCTGGCAAAACTTCCTGTTGTTCTGGAGCATACTGAACAGATGAAGGACGTGAAGCCTGTCTTCCTTTTGGAGGATAAAGTGTTTCAGCCAATGAACTAAACTTTTTAACTGGAATTTTGACAGACCTAAGGGCAAAAAAGTCTTGATCACTGATGAGATTATTAACTCTCTTGATATCTGCTACCTGTAAAAAAGAAAAATTAAACATTCAACTGAATTATAAATCACACCAGAGGTAACAATTGTCACTGATCTCATTTGAGAGGGGAAAAGATTTGAGCTCAATTATTAATAATATTAAGTTACCACACACAGAGAGAGATTTTAATTTTACTTGTGTATGAGAATCTAAACTGCTTTTGATCTACCAGGCTTAGGAAATCTCCAACTGCTTTTCATAATCACCTACATACTAGTAACACTAATTAATATAATTTAAGTAAATTCTAGTTGTATCACTTTGTATATCATGCACAAATATCACTGTACTGTTGTGTCTTTAAGCAATTTGCAAAGGAAGCATTACAGATACTTATGTTCTTTATTACAATTTGGCAATTGGAATGTAAGCAAATGTTAACTTACCCAAGTGCTATCATTTATCAAAACTAAGAAGCCATCAA